TGTGGAAGAGGTGGAAGAAGGGAGGAAAAGTTGGAGGATTGGTTGGCTCTGAGAGATCGGAAGTAGCGATGGGTGTTCGATTGTGTGGAAGAGGCGAAGAAGGAAAGGCCCGAAGTCTTCCTTTCGTTTGCCTTTTAACGATGAGAATGTCGCACGACTTGAGCAGGCCTCCGCATGCCGGTGACGTGACCATTCGGCGTTGTCGCAGACTGCAGATAAGACTGTAGCAACGATGGGTATGGGCTTTGGATTTTAGCAGGTATGTAATCATTTGAATTCTTTTTTATTTTCTTTTTATTTTCTCTCATGCTTCAGAGGTCAACATCTAGATGCATGGGGGAGTTCCAAGAGATGGACATTTTGATACCGCTGATGTTGGAATGAGGGGATATTAAAGAAGAAAGTGCGCATGACAATGAGCTGAGGAAGATCAGAGAGGACCTGCTGAAGGATGATAATATCCATCCTCGCTATTCATGATATGGAGAGAGACTTCTATACTAGAGGAGGTTTGTGTTGCCACGAATCTCAATATATATTCCGCACTTGCTGCAAAAGTTCCACGAGAGCGCTGTTGGGGGTCACTCAGGTGTACATAATATATATAGGAGATTGGCTGTTGAACCATATTAGAAGGGAATGTACAAGGATGTAGAGGAGATGGTGGTCAGGTGTGATGTTTGTTAAAGGAGCAAGTATATGGCTATAACTCTAGGGGGGCCTACTACATCCTTTAGCACTTCCAGACAGATTGTGGGGAAGAGATCTCTATGGATTTTATAGACGGGCTACCTAGATTGGAGGGGTTTACCATTATTTTAGTGGTAGTGGACAGACTAAGCAAATATGCTCATTTCATTCCTCTACGACATCTTTACACAGCTGTAATAGTGGCATCAACTTTCATTCGAGAGGTGGTTAAATTACACGGGATATCAGAATCTATAATATATGATCGAGAAAAGATGTTCCTCAGTCACTTTTGGAGAGAGTTGTTTAGGATGTAATGGGTTTTACTTAAGAGGAGCATCACTTACCACCCTCAGACAGATGGACAAATGGAGGTGGTCAATAGGAGCTTGGAAACATAACTGCGACGATTTGTTTCAGAGACATCTCAGTTGTAGGCTAAGTGGCTAACGTTGGCATAGTACTGGTACAACACTTCATACTATTCAGCGTCTTAGATTACCCCTTTTAAAGTGCTGTATGGCAGAGATCCGCCTCATTTGGTTCACTTTGGACAGAGTAACACATCAATCTTTTTAGTGGAACAATGCTTGGAAGAGTGGGACAAGATACTAGAGGAATTGAAAAAATATCTGTTGAGTGCTCATTAGATTATGAAAAGGCAGGCTGATGAGCACAGGAAGGACATTCAGTTTAAGGCAGGGGATAGGGTGTATTTGAAGCTTTGTCCCTACAGGAAGAGGACAGTGGCAAGTAGAGGAAATGAGAAGCTAGCGCCATGGTACTTTGGCCCTTTTGAGATAGTGGAGATGATCGAAGCCGTGGCGTATCAACTGAAGCTTCCTTTGATAGTGACCATACACCCGGTATTCAACGTGTCACAGTTCAGGAGAGCTATAGGGGTCACACCTCCATTGTAGAGTTACCAACAACGCTAACAGTTGATTTAGAGGTGGTTTTGGAGCCAATAGAGTTGGTAGGAGTGCGATAGGGGGAGAGAGGAAGTACTGATTAAATGGAAAGACTTATCAGAGTACGATGCTACTTGGGAGCCGTATGAGCGGATGAAACATCAATTTCTGTTATTCCATCTTGAGGATAAGGTGGTTCTTTTGGAGGGGGTATTGTTAAACTCGTCCAAGGTTGACCGATCCAGTCGTCCTTATCCAGGGCCAACACCTGGTAAATGCCAGGTAGACCAGGAAGCCGCTGCCCCCTTTGTGGGGCCCATGAATTAAAAGCAGTTTTCAAATAGGAGGGGAGAATTTAGGTGGGAAATTAATTGAAGATGGGTTGTTTAGTAACTATGTGTGTATTTGTATTCTCTAAATAGGGGGGAAGAGTTAGGGTTAGGTGTTGACGCTTGTTGAATTTATGAGTTCTCTAGTTTTGCTTAGGTTCTAGTTGTCGGCTAGAGATTGGGAGAGCCGGATCTTTCTCTCGAATTGAAGATCTATTGTATGTTGCTTATTTTCTTTCACTTTCTTCATATAATATTGAGTTTTCCTATTGATTTGCCAAGGGATTTCTTCAACTTCCTTGTTCTTGCTGAAATCTCTAATTTCAGCTGCTAGTTCTTCAATTTCTGCACTTGCTTCCTATTAGCTGCCAAACACTTCGTTCTTTGACTCGTGAATGCTAGGGAAATTAAATGTTCCGTTTGGACGTTTTGTATACATTACTAATTACCGTACTCGTGATTTGGAAAAAAGATTCTAATCTTTATTTCATGCTATATTGCACATTGTTGATTTCACAAATATTACTTTGATAAGCAAAGATGCTCTTACGCATGTATGTAATCCTAAGGTGGGTTTCACTGTAATTTATTCATGATATGAATGAACAAATAAGAAACCTTTTGGAATACCAATTTATTTATTGTGCTTATTAGTCTGATTGTATAATGTTCAATGTGAATTTTTTTTTTTTCAAAATTTGAGACCTTAATAGTATCTTTTTTGTGGTACTTTAAGGGCCTAAATATTTTCAGTTCTGTTAAATCTCAACCCTACGATCCCAAAGATATCCATGGCTGTGAACAGTAATCCGTGGGAAGACTACATGGATTGCATTAATTCCTCCTACTAATTTAGGAATAATTGTATTCATGTTATTATTTGTTTCCTTGTTGATACACCTTGTATAGATCTATAAATAGGGAGTTGATGGCTTAATAAAATTCAAGCTTTTCCTCTCGAATTCTAGTTTTAACAAGTTCCTACAAATTTTGTGATGAAAAGCTTAAGCTGACGTGCAGGGAAGATTTGATGCATGAATTGTGTTGACTGATTATGGTCAAAGAGCTTCTTGGGATTTGCCATATTTTTGTGTTATGCTATTTTACTGCATCTGAATGCGTCTAAATCTTCCGCTGAAAAAAGTTTTATCATCCGTATGAGCATTTAATGAATCCTGTATGGAGGGCTGTTCTAAAGGGATATTCTCATATTTTTATGCTATTTCATTCATAATATAAAATTTTAACTTCTTAATCTACTTGCCTATTTAGGTAGGTGCATGATGGGGCAAATCCTTCCTTCTACTAGATTTTTCTGTAGTTGCTAAAAAAAGCCTTTTGTGATATCAATTTTTATCTTTTAATCGAACTTATTAGTTCGATTAGTATAATGATCAATGTGTAACTTTATTTTCAAAATTTGAGATCTTTATGTTTTTGTTTTCTTCTTTTGGAATTTTAAGAGCCTAAATATTTTCAATTCCATTGCAGCGATTCTAGATGCAGTTCACCCTTATTTTAGTACCTGTTTTGTGATGAAAATGCTTGAGCTATCGAGCAGGGGAGACTCACAGCTTGAATTATTGACTGATTCTTGTCAAAGAGTTTGTTGGGATTTGTCATATTTTTGTGCTATGCTATTGTACTGCATCTGATTGCATCTAAATCTTTTGGTGGCATAAGTTTTGCTGCCATATGAGCAATTAATTAAACCTGTATAGAGGGCTGTTCTGAATGGATATTCTTATCTTGTAATGCTATTTTATTCAGAATATCAGTTTAACTTCTCAATGTACTAACCTATTTAGGTATTTGCATGATGGGGAAAATCCTTATTTCATCATAGTCTTTACGGCATTCTCCTAGATTTTGGTCTATAGTTGCTTTAAAAAAACTTCTTGTAATATCAGTTTCATCTTTTTATTCAACTTTCCTGGTTTGATTAGTATAATGATAAATCAGAAACTCTATTTTCAAAATTTTAGACCTTAATGGTTTTTTGGATGTTTAAGGGCCTAAATATTTTCATGCCCAATGTAGAGAACCTTGATGTACTACATCCTTTTTTTTATTTACATGTTTTGCGATGGAGAATGTTGGAGTAGCTCTAGTAGAAGATAAGATTAGAGAGAGTCGCCTTAGATGGTTTGGTCATATAAAATAGTGGCCTTCCGATGACCCAGTTAGGAAAGTAGATGTATTAGATTTGACTTATTGTTAAGAAAGGTAGAGGTAGACCTAAATAGACTTGTTTAGAAAATATTAGAAATGACATTTTTTATTAGATTTAGATGAGAATTTGACTCTTAACAGGACACAATAGAGAGAAATGATTCATGTAGCCGAAACTACATAGTGGGATAAAGGCTTGTTGTTGTTTTGCGATGGAGAAGCATGAGCCGTCGAGCAGGTGACATTTGATGCATGAAAGTTTTTGACTGATTCTAGTCAAAGAAGTTTGGATTAGATGTTTTATTGCAGTCTACTATTTTATTGTGTTTGATTTCATCTAAACCAACTCTTGACATGAGTTTTGCTAACCCTATGAGCTAGTAGTTATACATGTATTGAGTTTTCAGAAGGGATATTTTTTTTTATCTTATGCTATTTTAGTCAGAGTATGAAATATTCATTTCTCAATCTACTTATTTAAGTAGGTGCGAAATGGGGTAAATCTTTATGTCATAATAGTCTGAAGGTTGAATGCGCTGAAGTTCTCTTAGATTTTGGTCTAGAGTTGCTTTTCATTGTCTTTGCCCTATTGAACAGTTCAAATCCATGGTCCCTGTTACCTCTACATTTTTCACTTCTAACCTTTCATAATAATTCTTCTTGCCTGTTATTCTTTGCTTACATGTCCGATCATTTTCTATCATATGTGCTTTGTCAGAGTCTTGACTGTTCCCAATATTTAATGTTTGAAATACTAATTAATAACGGGAAGCCATTCTTATTTCCTACTTTATTTAAGTTCATCTTATCCTTATATAGTAATGAATATCTGGTAGTCACATGTACATATACTATGCCTGCAAATTGTGCCTTGACAATAAACCTTTGCATGCGACAGGAAAGGAAAATTGATTCAGGGTTTGTTGCCAACAAACTGCATGCTATGAGGTACTTGCTCATCCAGCTAGTGCTGCAGATTCTCCTTTATCCAGATGAATTCTCTGAGGCTGCATTGGATTTTGTTGTATGCTGCAAAAAGGTATTCCCTTCCTCAGAAAACAGTGATTCCTCGGAGGAAGAAGATGCATTTGATGATAATGATATGCCCGAGTTGATGGATGTCTTAGTAGAAACACTTCTTTCAATTTTACCTCGCTCTTCTGGTCGCATGGGTTATGTTGTTGAACAGGTTTGTTTTTGGATACCCATTAGTCTGTTAACTTGTCAATTGTAGTGCTCATTTTTTACTCTCCAGGTTTTCAGGTTCTTCTGTGGTGATATAACTGATTACGGACTGCAACGCATGCTGCATGTTGTGAAGAAAGATCTAAAACCTCTTCGGCATCCTGTTAGCGATGATGATTATGATGATGATGATGAAATTCTTGGAATAGAAGATATTGATGAGATGGAGGAAGCTAAGGCTGATGAAATGAGTGTTTATAAAGAGCATGAAGATGACTCTGAGGAAACGGGGAATGGTGGAGAAAAGATCAGCAGTAGTGGAGATGAGTTTGAGGAAGGTGAACTAGCTGGTGTGGAACACCAGGAAAACGGTCAGAAAAGAGGCGAAGATCATCCTCTTAAATTAGATAAAGCTGTTGGAGATGAAGAAGAAGATGCCAAGAGTGAAGCTTCTGATGATTCTGGTGGCATGGATGATGATGCCATGTTTCGCTTGGACGCTTACCATGCCCAATTGCTCAAAGAACGGACTGGAAACGACAGCGCTCTCTCACAGTTGCTCTTATTCAAGCTTCGTGTTCTGTCGCTGATTGAGATTTATGTACACAAGTATCCAGGTGAACATTTGTGCTTGGGGTGGCATCTTTTGATTATTGAAAAGTTGTCTGCTAAGCACGAGATTGAGTGGGCTAATAAAGAATGGATCAGTGAAAAAATATGAGAAACTTTTATTTAGTATTAAAAGCATTGCTGCATCAAATAATCTTTTTAAATATGGGAATGCTTTTCTTTTTCCTTAGTCAATCCTATTAATTCTATTCTGCGGTAGATTTCATTTTTTTGCAATCTGCTAACCAAAAATATGTAGATAGTATTTTTCCCTGGATATATAAGTCACTCTTATTTAATTTCTATCGTTTTTTTTCCTAACCTAGCTAATTTATTGTCTTTCTTTTTTCTCAAACAGGCAAATCCCATATACTGGCCATTTACTCTTGCTTAGTGCAAGCTTATTCAAAATACCATGGCGTGGCTGGAAATGAACAACTTGGACAACGCATTAAAGGAATTTTGCAGAAGAAAATATTTAAGGGAAGGGACTATCCAAAAGGAAGTGACATCTCACTCGATTCTCTCGAAAAACTATTGGAGAAAAGTCTGAAAATTGCTTCACGGTCTCGGGTTAAGGATATATCTTCTCTGGCACAGGCCTCTGCATTTTGGCTGCTAAAAATTGTGAACTCTAGAAATTTCTCTGAATTAGAACTTAGCAGAATTGTGCAAATTTTTGAAAGTTTACTTGTCGATTACTTTAATAATAGGAATTGTCGCTTGAAATCTGGGTTTATAAAAGAGATTATTCGGCGCCATCATTGGCTTGGTCTTAAGCTCTTTGGATTCCTTCTAGGCAAATGTACGAACGCAAAGTCAGAATTTCGACGAATAGAGGCTGTGGATATGGTGGATTGTATAATAAAGTCTGTGATCCCAAGCAGCAAGGTTGTGGGAGATAAAGAAGCAATCAGTAAATCTTCAAAACTGTTGAAGGCACACCTACCAGCACTCTGCGAGCTAATTTTTCAGCTGCTAAATAATTTACCGGGAAAGCAATCACGTCGTGCAGAAGTTAGACGGTTTTGCACCAGGTCCTTGCAAGCAGTTTCCATGCTTAACTTGAAGAAATCATTTCGTAAGGCTATGAAGCCAGAGGCCTTTTCTCTTTGTGAGTTGCATCTAGGAAATGCTGTTCTTCCTTTCCAAGTGCAGTGAATGTGAAAGTGCAAGCTGAGACAAAGACTTCAAAATTGTAGGGTGCAACCCAAGCAATCCTGAAAAGAGGTACTTTTGCTCATTTGTTATTTTGTCTATTTTAGAGCTTGATTAGTAATTACTATCAGTAATTGAGGATTGTCTCTTCTTTCAACTATAGACGCAACTGGATTTGTATATCCTGATTGGCTGATTACATAACCTTTTAAGTTGCTATTAACTTGCCTTAATTTCGTTGAATTTCCGTGTTTCATAACGATGGTTTTGATCTCCTGCAGGTATCGAAATTTGCTTGGAGTTTTTGATCTTTTGGCTGATTCCCAATGCAGTTATTGTCAGTCCTGGTTGTGGGATTTCGCATTCGATGCAGGCAACGTTTTGCATTTAAGGTTTTATTTAGATTTTTGAATTCGTGCATGTATATGTGCGCTCTAATAACTTTAAAAATTATAAAATAGCAAATTACGCTCTATTTTATTGGTGAGCTGAAATTTTTGAAATGAACCACACATTGCATTAATTTAGCTTACAGACAAAACATTATTATTTTAATATTTTTTCAATTAATGTTATTTATGTATTTATTTTGGGTAGAACGATCAATTGCAAGTTTGAACTTCTATTAATTTTTATTTATATTAATTTACATGAAAGGAATTTATTTGTTATGTTGCCTTTGAAATGTTTTCAACGTAGAAATAAATTGGTTTGATGAAAATCGTGAAGTTTCTTCTTAAAATAATAAATTATTTTTTCTATAATGTTCTCTAATGTTATTTCAATTTACAATGGTCCTATTAATTTCCTAAATCTTTGCATTTAAACTCAGTTATGTTTGAAATATCTATTATTCACTTAAAAAATATGAACTTTTGGGTCATTTCATTTTATAATATATTATAGAATCTTTTCCCACAAATAATGTTCAACTATTGAGCATATGTTATATTATTTATGTTTTCCCACAAATAACATGCATCTGATTGATAATTTATAACGTATCAGTTGAGTATAAGCAAATTTTATATTATAAATAATTAGTTAAACACCATATATATATTTTAAACTATTATATTTGATCTTATATTAGAACTATAAATTTTGAAGCCAAGAGAATGAATTGAGACAACGGCATCACGTTGATGCAACTCCATGACGCTTCTGCCAATCTTTTTTCCTCCTCTTTTTTGAATTTTATTTTATTGAAAATACAATCGAGAATTTAAGTTTAATAATTTGAACTGAGTCGAGCTATGCTCTTTTGAATATTAAATGCTCAGTACTGAGCGGTATCAAGCGTGGGTACCGAGCTCGGTATCGAATGCGGTATATTTTTGAGGTGATGTTGTGCATTTTTATTAGTCTCCGGACATCCTCAGGACTCCGTATAAAATAATAAATCCTTCGCACGACCCTAATCAACTTCCTTTTCGAAACATATAATCATGATTCCGATTTAATTCTTGATACAAAGATATAGAGAGTGCTAGGGCATCTCTCTCTCTCTCTCTCTCTCTCTCTCTCTCTCTCTCTCTCTCAGTAGACCTTCATCTTGAGCTGCCAAACTTTCCTCCTTCCATGTGACAGCTAATCAGAAACTCTTAATCATAAACAGGTGTAGGTTTGACAAAAATCAATTACATGAGAGGAAAGTTGTTCTTGATTCACTAATTTGGAATCTATGATGGATGTTTCTTTGTAATTAAGTAGTCTTTCGCATCCTCATATGTGATTAAGCTTTCATCTATCTTCTTTTGAGAGCCATTGACCGTGCGTCCTCTTTTGCTTGCCATCTGGATGCGAAAAATTGTTTCATACTAACAGTAGATGAAGGCGGTGTGAATTGAAAGTGAGATCCCAATTTATAGCATTTTGTTCAATCATATAGTATAATCGGTGATCATCTAGTATGATCACATGTTACCAAATTGTTCTATTTTATTCCTTCGATTAACCTGATCATTTAGTGTCATATAGAATGATCTTTGACTTTTGATCATCTTGATGCTTATCATAACTACATTTGAATCAGTTAAATTGTATAGTAAGAAGAGGTGCATCGTACAATATGATCAATTTTAATTATTCGTTCCAAACATTAATGTTGTAATAATTGTGCTTAGGGATCATCCTGTCCTACGTGTATTGTAAAGGACAAGTGTAGTTCATACAATACACAGTGATAAGCTTTTGGTTTAGGGGTAATGATGAGAACTTTTCTAAATTAAAATAAAATAGAAGACACAAAATACAAATAAAACATCATGGCAAAAGCATATAAACACATGCAATAAAACATACATCACATAAAACATACAAGCAACATCTATCATAACACGATGGTCTAGGAACTTAAATAAATTACTCCTAATCTCATGATAAGTACACTAAACTTCTCATAGTGAAGTGGTTTCGTAAATATGTATGTCAGTTAATATTTTATGTCAATAATATGAATGACTACGTCTCTTTTTAACATATAGTCTATAATGAAATGATAGTGGTTCGAACAACTTGATTTACGTCCACTTTCTAGGTATTCCACTGACCACTTTTGCTCCCAGAAAGGTGGATGAGCCTTTCTCCTTCATAGGGATCAAAGTACCTCTTCCCTTCCTAAAAAGACACCCTCTTTTCGTACATAGAATAGTAGAGATGCAACACCACTAGCCTCCTTCTAACAAAAGACTCCCCTGAGCTATTGCACCAAGAGACCTTAATATATTAAAATTGATGAAAAAGAACACACAATATGAAGAATAACCTTACGGATCTTGATCTCTTAAATGTCTCAAGAGATCCCTCACAAACTCTCTTTCCATCTCTCTCTCTCTCTTCTTCTCTCCCACACACAATAACGTAAAACCTCTCAAAAGCTCTTTCACAACCTCCTTTGCCCCTCCCAAGAAGCCTGAGATGTTCCATCTCTATCCTCAAAAAAACGTAAGAGTATATATATATATATATATATATATATATATAGCTCTTATTCAATCCCTAAAATCTTGATATATTTATTTAGATGGGCTAATCATACAAATCGATCCAAGATTACACAATAAGATCTAAATAACTTTATCGACTTATGGAGCCAGAAGAACCTGTTTGAATGAAGTTCGTTTAAACAAGCTCTTTGTTTATTTGCATTGTATGATATATGGAGTACAATATGTTCTTCGCAAGGATGATGTGTTAGAGCAATTGATTGACATGTTTGTCAAATTTTTACTAGACATGCTCTCTATTTATTTGTATTATATGATGGATCGGAGATCATATAGTACAAAACCAACTCTAACTTTTTTACCCTTGATTTCAGGTTCCTAAATAGATAATTCATTATATGGGGTGTTAAATTTTGTATTGTATGAATTGTCTATCCCTGCAAGAATAACTAAAATTTTGAATTAACCATTTTTTAGGATTTTAGGATTTAAACAATCTAAATTTAAATAGCTAATCATCAAGTATGATACACATCCTACTATATAATTAGTAATATTCAAAAATAAAGTCAAAAAACTGAAATGAATAAAAGAAGCCGAGAAAAAAGTGAAGCTAGTAATTGAAAAATTAAAAAAAAAATATAATCTAAAATTCTTGAACCATTTAACCAGACTAAGGAGGTTCTACCGTAATAAGAATTATAAGGATTTTGGTATATTAAGAAATATATTCTCTGACTAAAATTTAAATAAATTTATGTTCCATTAAATCCAAAATCATTGAGACCAAGTTAAGCTAATTAAACTTCACTTTCACAATTTGGTGTTTTGTTTAAAGGGAAGACTAATGGAAATAGGATATTTGTTTGTATTTGGTTGTATTACTTTTGTTATTAACAAATTGTGGAATTATAAATTTACTTATGTTATGTTATCGAATTACATTTGAAGGATTGCAATTAAAAAAATAAGTTAATGACATAGTCAATTGCATATGAATTACTCGAGGACAAGTAACGAATTAAGATTTAGAGATTTTGTTAAGTTAAAAGTTTTCAGATTTTCTATTATGTATTTGTATGAAAAGTGAGGCCAGGTTGTCATTTGTATAGGAAATCTTAAATATGAGGCAAATAAAGAGTAATAATGACACAACACTGAAACACTGCATAGTGGAGTGCCACAACACTTATGATGGAAATATTTAGCTTCAAAATAGAGACTTAATCATTGCAATGGATATGAGCATCACATCATTCATATTGAGATGAAAATGTAGGTCAATATATAGAGTTTAGCATTGCAGCATTATAAATTTTGAGTGTTATAGCACAACCTGAACACCGTAGCTCCATTACTTGTAGCTTTGTAGTGTCCAAGAGGCCTAGTCATGATAGAGAGCAAAGCACATTGCAATAGAAAAGACATTACCATTGCAGTGCCAAATCACCATTGGAACTAATATCATCTTGTATCACCTAAACACTATTGTGATGCAATTAATTTAGTAACAATGACTAAAGTGATACATTTGGGTTTGGATCAACACAATTGGTTGACCTAGGTTAGGACATTGGCTGGGCTGACCATGGTAGATGTATAGGGTTAGGAGTCACCTAATGTAAGTGTTAGCTTTGGCCTATTTAGTATAGGCTAGGAGATGGCTCGTGGGATGCCTCTCTTAATCACTTGGGTTAGATTATTTGGCAAGCCTAAATGGGTCCAAAGAATAAGTTTGCTAGGGTTGATCCCTATGAATAAACCAAAGGGGTTTCGGTTCTTTGGATTGGCCTAGAAGATTGAATTCTATGCTAAGAAGGTTTATGCTAATTTAGTTTGGTCAACCGAGATTGACATGGTCAATCAGGCTTCATCATGGGTTGGGGTTGGATCAAACACATTCTAAAATATAATTTTGATCTTATTAGAGAAGGTTTAAGGTCATGGCATTAGCTATATGCATGAAATGAATTTTTAAGAAGATATGGGTTGATTTGGTCAACCTAGGTTGACCTGGTCAACAAAACATATAAAAGGATTAAAGTTAGGTTCAATCTACTCTAAATGACAATTAAAATTATTGGAAGTGATATTAATTGTGTCATGTCAAGCTTAAATGAAGGGTTTATTTAAATGTTCATATATGGTCATTTTAAGGTTTAAGGAATTTTGATCAACCATGGTTCACTAAAGGCTCATTTAGGGTTATTCATGTATGGATTAAAGTTTGAAAGAGTTTAGAAGCTTTCAAGTATGTGTAAGTTTACAAAGGAGATTTAGAATTTAGGGTTCAAAGGGTTCATTAATAGTCAAAGTGACCAATAGTGGTCAACCTAGCCCATTTAAGGGCTCAATGGTATTTATGCATGATCATGAATGATTGTCAAATACTTCAGAGATAAATATAGGTGTTAGATTGAGTGGGTAGATGGTGTTTATGCATGATCATGAATGATTGTTTAGATGAACATGTAGGCCTCCAAAATATATAGGTAGACTCTAAGGATAAACCTAATCAGTATGTGAATGAACAAACAAAAATTTAGAGACCTTTATTAAGATTTTAGATTTATTGAAAAATTCTTTGAAAAAGGGAAAAATCTAAAGGCTAAAGGTTTAGATTTGAACACTTGATTTTTATTCAGTAG